AAGATGTCAATTAATATACTTCTTAGTTTATATACATGTATAAATTGAGTTTGAAGCAATTCAACTTTTTCAGCTTTGGCTATATTATGGTTCAAATAAAGGAAATATGTATAAGTATTTCTCCGAGTATTTATTGAGCACATCCAAACCCATAGATATTTACAGTTTACTACTTTCAAGTTCTTAATACTTAGGTACTATGGTTTCAGTCTTATGCTACACAATGGAAGATCTTGGTGGGTTCTAAATAATGCATGTACAATTATTTATAAATTTTTAGTTATTTTTTATGTTTCAGGGCATATTTTATGATTTTTTTTTTTTTGGTCATATTATAGTATATATTTCAGTACTTTTTAAAACTATAAAATTCGAACTTTGGTAAAAAAAAACAAATAGAATTTAATATTATTTTTGAAACATATCCAATGGTTTCGTATAACTAACTGTAAGGATCTATGCGTCTGTTATCAAATTTACCTGTCAAACAATTTTTATTTTAATATTGTCTTTTATAATAACTTTAGATGTTAGCTTTTAAAAACATCTGTTTTTGCAATCATATTTTTTTTAATCCAAGTATAGATTTTGAAAAAACTTGATCTGTTGATTTTCATACAATATTGATAGTCACATCAAAGACATGTTGGACCATAGAATATTGTTTTATACATTATTTTTTTTTTTCCATATTTAGATCTTACTTCTTCAGTAATTCAGATAACCTATAAGTGACATAATACTGAGAAATGTAATAAATAAATATTAGTCTTAATTTAATTACATTTGTTAAAACAGTTAACAGTTAAAATTTATATAATTTATACAGATAATTAAAACAAGATATTACACTATTAAAGAAATTAAAAGTACATAAAGAAATTATAAAATGATCAATTTACATAAATATATAATTTTTTTTTTTTTTATTAGCTACTAGTTGAAACTATTATAACTCAACAATTGCAAAGAGTATATGTTACTTGATTATTCGATTAAATAAATAGTAGAAATAACCTAGGAAAAAAGTAAATTTATTTATTTATTCATTTTTTAACTTTGGTCATCACTAGAGCGCGGATTTGTATGCACTTAAAAGTATCGAAATATGCCATATAATATGCAGTAAAAATCATGAAAATATGCAAGAATTTTTTATTTATTTAAAATTTATAATTCAACTTATAAAAATGAATTACTTAAATACTTAATACAAAAAAATTTAGGGAATTTTCTGAACTTAATTTATTTTTAAAATTTAATTTATTATTAAAATAAATAATCATATGCATTTCAAATTTATCTTCTGTGAAACTGTGTTGTTTATCGGTTAACATATTTTTAAAGACTGAAAACGAACCCTCGATGTCAACCGAAGTAATTGGGGCATATTTGAAGCAAGTGGTATGTTGATAATGGACTGACACAGCAAGAGTAATTAAGTTTACATCGTTATCGATTATTTATTTTATAACTATATATATATATATATATTTTTAATTTTTCTACTAGACAAAATATTATTTTATACATTTTTTTTTTTTAAATTTTCACTTCAATATGCAATAAATTTTGAATTTTGCCAAAATATGCAAAAACCTTTAAATATGCAAAAAAAAATTTCACTATTAGCTTCAAATTATGATGATTCGTGGAGATAACTGACAAAAATCCAAAAATAATGAATGGAAAAAAATATGCGATTGCATAGAAATCTGCGCTCTAGTCATCACCATCTTAAAAAACGCTGATGGCATGACTTTTTAGATTAAAATCACCGTCTGTTCACCTAGCGAAACTTATCAAAAGGGTCCTATCACTGGATTATTTACCTGATCACCATCTTAAAATTAAGTAACAATTATTACCACATTGCTTATTGTATTTATTTTAATAAGATTGTAAATTTATTTAATAATAATAAAAAAAAAACTTTGTACTTTGGCCATAAATGGGTTAAAACAAATTTTGTTCAAAATCAACTTTATTTAAAATAATACAAAATTATTAGACCAACAATTCTCAAATTGGATTAATTAAATAATGTAATTATGTTATCAATGGAAAGAACTAAAAGTAGTTTAGAAAACATATAACATTTAATTTAATTGTAAATCGCCAAATAATAAAATATAAAAATTTCTAAAACTTGACAAAATTATTTTTTCACACCAAGAATTTTCTATTATTAATCAACATTTTAGATTGGTTTAATTAGATATAACATTTCATACTCTACAAAGATAAGTCACCTTAAATTAATTTTTATTCAATTAACATGTGCAATCAAATAATCAATGTTACATTTTTAAGGTTGTTAAAATAAATATATTTATTATTCTGAAAAAAAAAATTATGTAATTGTTGATGCCTACAATCTTAACAGTTATCAATATTATTTTGACTGTGAACTAATCTAATGAATATAGAAATTACATGCATTTGATGGAAACAAAATTTTTTGAGGTAATAATAATAAGTACTAAATAATTTCTTCCTAGTCCATCTATTAAATGTCCAAATTATACTAAACAATGAACCTATAATAAAACATATTACGAGTATATGTTAATTTCTTTATTACCCAGTTTGTGATAAACCATAAGGTTTAAACGATAAATACTCAAAAATGATTAACAATTATTTCTTATCCAAATTGATTTTATCAGTTTTTTTCTAATCACAAATCTTAAATAACTGTTACGACAATTATGCATTGTAATTGGGTCTGTTATTTATTAACTGGAACTAAATTAGCAATTGGATGGCAATAATAGTACTGATTAATTAGATAAGATAATGCTATCAAATATATCTATAACTTTATAATAGTATCAACTTGTCAACTTATCAAAAAATATATTCCCATTAATTTATAAAATAATTTGTACTTAATGGATTAAATTTATAAAATAAGAATGTATTATATACATAATACAATGAAAACTATTAAAAACAGAATCTCATTTTGTATTTTAAGAACAAGTAAGAACAGGTAAGAACAGATAATATACATAGAATAAAGAGCAATTAAATAATACATATTAAGAAATAAATATATACTATTTATTTATTTATTTAAAAAACAATTTTTTGTAAATAAAACATTTGACTAGAAAAAATATTTAACTAGTAAGACATTTTAATGCATTTATTCTTTGACTCACAATAACAAAAGTTATAGTTATATGTAAATCAACTTTTACAGTTTAAATTTTTTTTTTTTTATTCTTATATGAACTAAAGTTCCAAAAAGTTTATATAATCTAATATTTTATCTTTAAATCAGGTTTTAAATGTTATACCATGTAAATTTATTGAATCCTGAAAGCTATATATTCTTTACATAGTTGTAATAAGAGTTGAAACTATAAAAAAAAAGATCAAGAAAAAGATTCAAAGTTTATTTTTAATAATTAATAACATACAGCACAATTGATTAAACATTATAAATAATGTAATATTTATTTATATTAATTTAAAATAGTTGAATGTAACTGTAATAATATAATGAATAATAATTATTCTACAACTATTGTAGATGTAATCAGAACATCCAAATATTAGGAGTGAAAATTTGATTGTTATTGAAAAGATAAAATTGAGAACTAAAGATTCTAAACTGGTCATTATAGAACTGGAAAATTAATTTTATAAATCATAAAGCATTTATTATTTAAAAAAATATTAAACTGGTATCAAATTCACAAAAATTTACATTTATTATTATACATTTTTAGTTATCATTAATTATATATGAGGATAAACATATATTTACTAAGATCAAGTATATATATATATATGTTGATGATTCTAATTTTTAAATTTAAATGTCAACCTATAGATACTTACTAAAAGTTTAGAAATTTTAAAACATATCATTAAGTGATCAAATGGTAATCAATTTTTAGGATTCTTAATGTTAGTTTATTAGACATTATTACATACACATAGATTTATTATCAAATGGTACAATACAAAGATTATCTCTTAATTTTAGTTTTACTAGTCATGAACACTACTACCAACTTATTGCAATTTGTGACATACTTGATATCATAAGATATAGATATTGTAACAAGATATTAACTCAAATGAAAATCACAAAAATTCTTGATTATCTGTATTTAAAAATTGATTTTTTAACTTAGTTTGGAAATAGTAGCTATATGATTTTGTATTATTTTTAAATATAATTTCAGAATTAAAAAAAAAAGTTAGGTAAGTACCTATTATTTTAAATATTTCTTAGTGTTTAATTGTTTAATATATAAAACTAATAAACAAGTAAAAATATTAAAACTAGAATTTGAATACCTAACTAAAATGTACTTATTTCAAATTTTTCAAAATGTTGAAAATTTTTGGCGTTAACCTAATGATTCTTTCTGTGATTTTTCATGATTAAATGAAACACAATAAAGCATGTAATAAAGGTAAAACAAAATTCATTAGATACTATAGAGCCTATATTTTAAAAGGTTTAAGAACCAGTTTAACAATAATATTACAATCATTTTGAGCATATTTAAGTATTAACAATTATAAGAATTTTTAGATGGAGGTATAACTTAATAATTAAAAAATATTTTCTGGAGTTATAATAACTACGATGATCTATTTTTTTAAAATTTCATTAGAACTTAAAATGACTTTGATTCAGGCTGAACTAACAAAAATTGTAGTAAATATTTTTTAAGAATTGAAATTAATAGAATAAAAAATTACAAGTTATTAAAGTATACCTATTTCATATTTTATATATATATATATATGCAATTTGTTTTTTGAAATATTATGTTAGTATCTATCAATCTATTTATAATTGTCACAGTTTTTTAGATACAGGATATTTAGATTTATATAACTTTTCAACCCAATGTTTATAGTGCAGATTGTACATGTTATCAGAACTAGATTGAAGGTTTTAAATACATAGAGAACAAACGAGAAACCAATAACAAATAATAGAACCATCAAGCAGTGGTAACAGTACGTACCGAGCAACAAGAGTTTGAGTTCTCGCCGGGCATCCCTCTTGTCACGCCGCAGCTGTCTATCAATCTCCTGGTTGATGCGCTTCTGTTCTTTCGCCTCCTCGGACAAGCAACACGCCATTGCAGCACCTTGCGGTCTGGTCCAGCACGTTGACGGAGGACGGTGGGCTGCTTCGGCGAGTCCGTTATTACTCTATGTGCTTTCCACCCGCCGTTCTCACCACCACCACCACCACCACCACCACCACCACCAACGCGGCCAGCAGCAGTAGACGCCTCGTGCCACTCCACAGTGACCACAGCGCCGTGCCTCACTAAAAACGCACTGTGTGTTGTGCGGTCCACGTCCACCACGTCCACTGGCCGCCCGTCACACTAGGACGGCGGCGATAACCGACGGCACGCCATCGTCCATGTACGTTCACACTAACTGTGGTGGTCGTCGTTTGTTATCCAGCGGCTACCGGTGTGGGGTGGTTCTGGGTTCTGCAGGCGTTATGCTGCTGTAGCTACTGCTACCGGTGTGAATTCCAGGTCGTCGTCGGCACGAACAATCCGAACACCCCGGCGGAGATGGGGTACGAAAACGAAAACGGAACGCACGATTACAAAAAAAAAAAAAAACACACACACACACACACACGTACACGTACACGGACGCAAGCGCACCTCGCACACACGGGGAAAAGAATTAAGTTGAAAAAAGAGAGCAGAAAAAGTAATCACTCGCACACACCGTTCAAACGAATACGCGCGATATCCGCAGCGTATCAACCATGAATCTGTATGCGGCGTTGCACGGCGAACACGCGTCTACGTGTAATACGATTATTATATTGTAATAATTTTAAGAACAAATACAGTATAATATACGCGTACGCGTGCGTGTGTGTGTGTGTAGATATTAAAATATTATTATGTAGTACGTATACGACGTGTATAATACGATGTGTATGTGTGCGTACGGCGATATCTCGCACTTGGCTGGGGCGGTCGTCTCGCCGGCGCGCGGCTGGGTGTGGTGACGACGGCGGCGGCGGCGGCAGCGGTGTGCGCGCGTTAGAGCGAGCGAGAGAGCGGCGGCAGAGCGAGCGAAGACGCGGCGGCGTGGCCGATATGTATGTATATGTAATACGGGTGTATAAATATATATATGTATAATATACGAGAGAATATATTATTATTATTATTATTATGTACACGATCCGGCGGCCCGTGTGCAGCAGCTGATGTGAAACGGTCGACCGGAAATTTTTAATCTACACCACCACCGTACACTCCCGCGTACTCCCTAACCGGCCGCTGAGAGCTGTGCAACACCGGTGCTGTTAGCTGCTGTTGCTGTTGCCGTTCGGAGGCGTTCGCGTTTCGACGGCGTAGCTGCCACGCGATGACAACGACGGGCGATCGGTTTTACACGACGACGACGACGACGACAACGAGAATGGGCCACTACGACTGCGGTAGTGCCGTACTCGCGCGCACCGAGTACCGAACGACCGACGACGACGACGACGACACTCCGCGACCACTCCGTTCCGTTGTTGTGTGTTTTTACGCGAACGTACGCAAACCCACACTCATGTACACATGTACACACACGCACATACACACACACACGCATACACGCGCACACATACACACGCGCGCGCGCGCGCGCGGGCGCGATGGCCTGCTGTAGCTGCTGCTGCTGCTGCTGCTGGTCGTCCACGGCGGCCCCTTTATCCTGTTAGACTTAATTCAATTTTAAAGAAGCCAATCATTTCTGACAAGAGCGCACTGGGTTTTATTATTAACGAGATTATACATGCACACACGCACACACGCACGTACCCACGCCCGCACGCACACAAGAACACACGCACGCACGGTCATTACCGATACGAGCACACGACGCTCTCGAGTAGCGACCTCTGTCAGTTAAATAACGTATCGCCTATCGTACGCCGGGGTTGATTCGTATTTATTTGTACTTTTAATTTTCATTTTTCAAATTTCTCGATTTCCCGCCTGCGCGCGACTCTTTGCCGTCACGAAGCCCTCGGTTGGGTACCGCGATCGGCCACCGGGCTCTATTTTGGTGCGCTTTAACCGAGCAGCCTTTCAACTTACCCACCGACGTGGTGGTGGTTGATCAGTTGATCGCCGAGACGACGGTCAACGATATCGGAAAAAATTCTACAGCGCACCACCCTGTCCTCGTGTAGTCGTCGCCGTCGTCGCCGGACGTCGCCACCGTCGAGCGGTCGCATCGATTTTTGTTCGTCCGGCCGGCAGCCACCCGCCGCCGACAACGTCGTTGCCGGTGCCCGCCGGAACGCAGCCAGTTTCGCGCTGTCGCTGACGAAAGAGTTTTCGGCCGTCCGCCGAGGTCGCACTGTACACGCCGAAGCGGTTGTTTGCCGCTGCTGTTCGTCGCGTTGTTCGCGCACCCAACGAACGGTCACAACGTTTTGTTCGGTGGCGTTGACGGCTCGCATCGATTCCACCTACGCCGGCGGGAAATTCAAACGCTTTTATCTCTATCTACCCGCTGTCTCGACCTACCCATCCATATAGCCGTTTCAAACCCGACTAATGAAACCGCGTTTCCATGACCCCCCCGCATAGGCGTTCCCGGTGTACCTTGGTCGGGGGAAAGGGCTGTTTAAGTCAATATGGGGATAAACTATCCGTGTTTATTGTACTGCGTGCCTCTCGAGTACTCTCCTCCTGTCCAATGTTTATGAAAACGTTCAATAATTCATGTTTTTTGAATTACATTATATTTGTCAAAAAAAAAAAAAAAAAAAATACTAATTACAATTATTTTTAATTTTATATTATCTGACGAGACTTATATTTCTACACTTTCGTTTAGGAAATTAGATCGATTTAAAGAAAAACATTGTAGAACTTTCAGTATATTTGAATTGTTTAATTATGCTATTGGTGATTAAAATATGATTTTCTTATAACTGTTTAAAGTCGCCAGTGGCGTAAAGAAAGAGAGAGATCCGTAAGTAAGCGCCACAAGATTATTACTTATTGTTAAAAAAAAAATACTATTTCCAATTTTAAATGTTTTTATTTTTTTCCTTATAAAAGACTTGGTTATAAATGTTTTCCAAGATCTTTGATGTTTTCGTTACTCTTCAAGCAAGTTCCTGTGAATATTCGTTTTCTACAACGAAACGAATTATAACATAGTACTCTTATAGATCGAGTTATTAAAGTATATTAAAGTTATTGAAGGATTTTTGACATTAAATGTATTAAAGGTAATTACCACTAACGAAGAAAATTAAAAAAATTTAAAACAAAAAAACTACCTACAAATACTTTTAAACATTATATAATAATAATATTAATGTACAATAACACTATTTAAACCTATTTATAAAAAAATCTTTTCTGTTGTCATCATTGTTTTTCATTTATAAAATTTTATATGGGACACATTATATAAAAATATAAATATATTATAATACTCACTGAGTCAACCAAAATCCTGAGATATTTAATAAACCATTAATTTACCATTTATATAATTTTATTAATTTTGTTATTTACGCTTATCCTTCATTTTAGAAATGTTTTTTGCTATACCAGTGGTATCCCACAGAGATAAGCTCGGGCTGACTCAATAATATTCCCACCTCGATCACCGCGTGGGGCTGTAATTATTATAACTTTATCGTATTCACGCTTTGTTTTCAATTGGAAACGTCAACCGTGTATTAAACAATAATGTGACTTCATTTTCATAACAAGCGAATGTAATAATATGCAAAAATACCGAATGCCGTCTTTTGTTTGGTTATTTTAAAAAACTTAATATTATAGATATTTTTTTGGAAATAGCTACTAACAAAAAATAATTTCAAATGTAAAACTAATCACGTTGAGGTGTGGGTGGTCCAATTTGAAAAAATTCATTGATAATTATTGCTAAAATTTGAAAAAATTCCAAAATACTATAGTAAAAAACAGATAGTTAAGAAACTGTATATATGTTTTATTTTATTCGACAAATAGGTTATTTATGGTGCACAAAAATGTCAACTATATTTGATTCATCAAGAGTTATAACGTTATTTAAGACAATAAATTAGAAAAATACACTTAAATTTACTTATTTACTTTCGCATGGATGTATAAATGACTAAAATGATCAAAATTGATCACTTTAATTTTTTGAAATTAGTGAGATTAATACAAAAAAAAATATCCATTTATTAAATAATATATTTCTAGATTTATATATTTAGTACAATACTATTATATATGAGAATCGCAATGAAAGAGTTTTAAAATACAATCATACAGATACAAACAAATATAAAACAATAATAAATCTTTTACTTAAGCCACATAAGCCACTTACTATATATATATGTAACAATTATTAAGCAATAAAAAATCCAAAAATAATTCAACTTTTCATTATTTCATAAAGGAGTAAGAAGTTCCTATTTTAATATACTCATTGACACTAAATCAACAAAGGTATTGTTTAACTGTTATATTAAATTGCAATAAACTAGACAACTCTAATTTCTAACATTTGATTAACTGCGATTTCATATAGCTTTATAGAAAGTAGATATAACTGTAAAATTCTCTAAATAATACAGTTTTCAGTAATTTCTTCGCCTTGTTTACATACCATGATTACACTGGTTGTGGAATGTTGTTTATATATTCGTATTTATATATCGTATGTAATTTTCTTATTTACATAAATTAATTCATAATAAAAATTTTAGTGTTTATAAAAAACGTATACGACAATATATAAATAAAATAACATGGTGATATGATGAAGGGGGAGGGGTGTAGTTCAACACATATATCTTCTTCCTATTATTATTACATTGGAAATTAATTATACTACTCTACATATTTAACTGAAATGTAACATTTTTTTATTCGTTTTGTTATAATTTGTATTGGAAATCTTGAAGTAAAATATAAAAGTTAGAACAAATACAATTAACTTCATATCGAAATTTAAAATTATCATTAATCTTCAAAATGGAATCATTTTTACTTAAGTGTATGTTATAGATAATTCAAAGTTTATATCCGGTATATGTATACTATGTATACCAGTATATAACTATAGGGATATACCAACGCGCAAGTTGGTCTCGACTGAGTTCGAAAGAATATCAAAAATCAATCGTTAAATTTTCTCGTTACATCACATTTGTACGACATTTACATTGTTACATTAATTGTCCGACGAATGGTTTACTAAACAAAACACTTACTGAGCAACAGTAGTTTAAATCGTTTTTTTCCTACTTCCAGGAAGTCTTAAAAAACAATAGATCTCTTTGTTAATGTGCTTCTGTTCCTTAGCCTCCTTTGTCAGGTAACATTGTAACATCAATGATAAAACGGTTGACTACATCTTGCAGTCGGGCTTATGAAATGTATAGCAGCTACTACATAGAAGGGTAGACTCTTGTGACGTGTGGTCCATTGACATGTTCTCATCTACCTCTTCGGTAGTCTCGCATATCACTGTTTCAGTCAGCGACTTTAACCGCAATCTCTTGTCTATTGTTTCAGTCAGCGACTCTATGTACAAGCTTGTATTAAACATAGTGGTCCGTTATCAGTCGTCGATTACAATTTCACGCGTATTGCTGTTGTAGAGAGGTGTCACGAAGACTAAGTTCCGGTACAATTTCAATACAGATGTTTTTACACTAAAGTTCCTACAACATTGCATTTAACCTCGATCTACACGCGAAAAACGATGAATAATATGAATATATGAATATATGAATAATATGTTATCTATGAAAAAATGCAGATAATCACTTAGTGACTCAGTAATGATGAATTTATTAAAAGCGAGTGACGAAGAATTTTATCGCAGGACAACTGCATAACTATGACATAAATCCTCTTCATAATCCGGTATATTTCCGCAAACGACGAGAGTCAAAAAAATTTGTTTATAGGTACTATATGAGTATAGTCCAGAGGTCACCAACCTGTCGATCCTAATTGAATGGTCGTTTTTTAGAAGAATATTGCAGGTAGACCGCAATAAAAATAAATTATACAGTTATAAATTTTTATTTTTCAATTTAAGCGCCTAATACATTCTTTTATATCATAGCATAAATAAATAATATGTCGATCGCTCCAAATTCAAAATTTTGAATATAAATCATTTGTTGGAAGATATTGACGATACCTGTCCTAAACAACTATACCCAGTACTGGCGCTAGGTATTGCGGGGCCCTGGACATAGGTATTAGCCTTTAGGTTCCCAGAGAGGGGCGAAATTCTAGCTTTTTCTTTAAATTAGGATTTTTTTTTTTTTTTTTTTTTTAATTTTTATTAGAAATAAACAATCTATACAAGTAATGCATAATAAGCTTTTGTGCTAAGAGAAGACATGACATGAAAAATTGAGTAAGAAGTCACCCACTGGCAACACTTAGCAGATTTTTTAAAAAAATATTGTTTTTTTTTCGAATTTTAAACAATAACTATAGAGAAAATAGTTATTTATATTATTATTTATTGTAGGAATCCTACTTGACGGATATCGTCAAAATATTACGCTTTCGTCGTATCGATAACAATTTACTTTGTAATTTGTACTATGGCTAAATTTAGATAACATTTTCCAAATAACTGATGATAGGCGTAATATAGATTTATAATTTGTTGATATAAAATGTCAATGTGTCTTACGGTATTAAGATGATAATTGAAAATCACGGAGCCCTTTAACAAGCGCGGGGCCCTGGATAAATTTCTCTTTGTCCTCCCTTAGCGCCGGCACTGACTATACCACCCAAACAATTCTGATAAAAAAAAAATAAATATTTAACGTTTTCAATTACAGCAGAATATAAT